ATAGGCGCCAATGCTTATATATACATACACAGATAAATATATATATATATATATATATATATATATATATATTATTTAGACGTGTTCATGTATAGACATATATACATAGATGCCTATATATGAATATATATTCATATATATCCGACTGAATTGAGATTTCGCATAGCAAGCCTATCAGACGGTGCAAGATGCAAACTCTACATTTCCTCTGCATGCATTCCACCGCATATGAAGCAGTTATCATTAAAAGGATAAAAAACATTATCATTAAAAAGATATCAAACAGTATCATTAAAAATATATTAGTAGCACAAAAAGGATAGAAAGGTATCATCAAAACATACAAACGACAAACAATATCTAAATGGGCACCTCCCCGTCAAAGCAAGACACGTATGAAGAGACACGTATATACAAAGATGAAAGGACTTTATGTTGTGATTCAGAGACGCACCCATTCTGTTGCCAGAACTTCCTAATTGAAGAGGCAATGGAATGTATGTATACCGCGTTGCTCCAATACCCCGCCACTATTCGCAAGTCCGGCATTACTCTGTTCACACAAAGACAGAAGCATATGTTGCTCTGAAGGATGTTCCTCCTGCTGCTGCAGCGAGGGTGGCTGACGATGCGCTTGCGGAACAGCAACAAAAAACAGCAAAACCAGGGCAATCCAAATTGAAACACCAATACAAACTTAGCTCGTCAGCAGCCGCAGTTGGTCATCATCATCATTATCAGCAGCAGCAGCGCCAGCGCCAGCTACAGCCAGAGAAACAGCAGCCGCAGGGACAGCAGCAATCTCAGCAGCAGCAGCAGCAACTAACCGCCACTTAGTGAGTTCATGGAAGACAGAGTCGAATGCAGACCCTGTGCACGATGCTGTGGGCTGCGGATAGAGCGGCAGCAGCAGCAGCTTCAGTTGCTGATGCTGCTGCTGCAGCTGTTGCAAGCAATTTCCTATACTTGGGTTCCCGTAGCGCACGCAGGCCACGACTTCAAAGCGAGGCAACGATTGCTGCTGCTCCCGCTGCTGTTGTTGTTGTTGGTCAGGTTCCTGCTGTTGCTGCTGCTGCTGCTGCAGCTCGTCAAGGCGTTGCTGCAGCCGAGCAGCAAGAGCAAGCAGATGCACCAGCAGTGGCGGAGCAGACCCCCCCTCTAATACATCGTGCACCTGCTTCTGCAGCAACGATGGCTGTTGGCGCTGTCGCTGCTGCAGTGCAGCAGCGGCAGCCGAAAGACGCTCCTTAACATCTTCAGCAGACAGCCAAATAAGGGCGTACCTTTTTGCTGAAAGCACTGAACAGGAAGACACACACAAGACACCTGCAGTTGCTGCTACTGCTGCTGCTGTTGCTGCTGTGGCTCCTGTTGCTGCTGCTTCGGTTGCTGCTGCTGCTACCTTACAAGACCGAAATGGAAGAATGATGAGGTGCAGCAGCGGCAGCCAAAAAGCTCTTGGCAGCTCAACGATGCGCCGATCGCCTAGAAACTCTGCAGCAGCAGTAGCAAGGGCAGCAGCAAATTCAAGGCAACATGCATTCCCTTGGCTTCCCGCATCGACGTATCGAACTAGTGCCAGGAGTCGGCAGCATCAACGCAACAACGGCAGCGGTAGCAACGAAAGCAGCTGCAGCAACAGCGGCAGAAGACGGCTCACGCCCGAGGTACTTCCACAGTGCGGTGTAAGTCGGCTTTTTGGGGGAGCCTAGATTTATGAGAACGACGTGAACTACATCTTTGTTGCTGCTGTTGTTTCTGTTGATGCTGCTGCTGTTGTTACTGTTGCTACCATTGCCGCTGTTGCTATCGCTTTGCTTGCTGCTGCTGCTCTTGCCGTCGTTTCTGTCGCTGCTGTTGCTGCTGCTGCTGCGCATTGTGTTAATGAGTTGGGGGGCGTGAGGATTCTCCCGGTGCCAAAAGCGCTGCCATCTTGCTGCTGCAGCACTGAGCAGTTTCTGTTCTTTGCTATTGATTTGTAGCTGCTGCTGCTGCGCCCGCTGGTAGTGTCGCTGCTGATTCTCTGTGCCTCTCCACGCATCCACAGCGGGGCCACCGGCGGCGGCGAGACTGCTGCATCCTTTTTTTTGCCTGCTGCTGCTGCTGCTGTAGGGAGTGCTGGTATGGAAGTTGTACCGGAGCGTGCTGCTGCCGCTGCAACTGCTGCTGCTGCTGCGGAGGCACGAAACAACGACTGCAAGGGCCCTTGAACAATGCATTCCAATCAGCAGCCGTATGCACGGTCGCCGTTTTCTCGTTGTTCAGCCAAACCCTAAACCCTAAATCCGCAATCACAACAGCAGGTTTTGGGTTTCGGGCTGCTGCCCCCTTTTGCCCGCCTTCTACAGCTTCGAAGGAACAGAAGACAAAGTCAAATAGACATATTTATTGATTTGTTTGCAGCGTATCGCAGAAGACAACGGGAAGAAATGCCCCAAGCCACCACGGGGCCTGCGGAGATCATGCATACACCCTATACCCTAAACCCTAAGCCGGTGGCTCTAATGGCTAAACACAAAGCCTTAATCTTGGCCCCAGAAGAAGCCAAAAACGAAGCATTTGAGCCCGATTCTGGTGTGCGTGTTACCCAAGAACTACTCATTTTAAGGTAAAGGGCTTAGCGTTTAGGGTTTAGGATTTAAGGGCTTGGGGCTCGCCGATACAGCTGCGTGCGTAGGATTAGTTACAGTTGAGCCAACCAGTGAAATTAGGCCAATTAAAATATATAAATGAAAAGGATACATTGGATATTTTTAGTCGTAGTTTTTTTGAGCCTTGCGGCCGCTTCCAGCTCGTGTAGACACGAATCCTCGACCCCGTAGCCTAAACCCTCTTGCTATATAGGCATCGAATATGCATGCAGCCGAAGCCCCACCATTAGTAACTAGCCAAGAAACAGCTAGCCAAGAAGCTCCTACTGCGGGGAATGCACGTGGGGAGTGTGTTGCTGGTGCTGCTGCGGCTCCAGGAGGAGACACAGCAGTGGCAACAGTAGCAACAGCAACGTTGCATGGTGTGGCAGGAGCAGCTGCAGAAAGACCTTTAGCAGGAGACGAAGCGGCAGCAGCAGAAGCAGCTTTTGCTGCAGCAGCAGAGCTACAGGAGCAGCAGACGCAGCTGCCAATGCCGCAGCAGAGGTCGACGCTGAATGCGGAGCAGGTGCAGGCAATGAAAGCTTTTGAGATTAAACTTCGAATGGACAATGAAAAGTACAAATCTTTCATTATATATGATTACACAGATGTGAATAAACCTACAAATTACTTGTTTCCGCGTAAATCCTTAAAACAAATTGTACCTAGGAAAAAGTACGATAGTCTTATTGTTTATAGTTCCATCGATGTGCAGAAAGTAAGAAATGCACTGTTTAACTATATTATATATATATATATTTATGTATTTATAATTTTATGTAGGTAGTGACAATGAAAAGCACAAACGTTTCGTTATTGATAATTATACAGATATGTAATCAATACTGCGCTTCACCATAAATGTATATTTAAAATTATATATAGGTAATGTCGAAGGGACGTAGACATGTTTCATTGTTTATAGTTATATATTTTAGCGTACAAAGTAATATATGGAGTGTTTCATTGTAAACGTATACTCAGTTATATACACACTACTTCAAAAAAATATATATATACCGACAGACTACTCCATTAAATGCAGATAGGTATAATATTTCAATATCCGAATGTATGCATACACAATTAAGCGGTATACACAATGATTTTTTCTCCACATGTATATATATATACATATATACATGTATGTATACGCATATATTATTTGTGCCGAAGGTTCCAAAATGCTTTTATTGATTCATTTATGAAAAATATGCATATGCATCCCTTCAGAATTTTTATTCGGCTGCAAGCATACAAAAGGTTTTCGCTGCGTTTTAGAGAGTATTGTTGAGGAGCCCTTCAATGAAGTCACCGCCATTTAGCTTCTTTCCAGTACATGCTCAGATATGTTGCAAGTACACACCAGTGTATAGATATGTTTCTGTCTGGATGCATGTAGCTCAGCACAGGAACATACGCATTTGCATATACATGCACCTATGCATGTATAGGTGCATGTCTGTGTGTGCGCATAAATATATAGATATACATATATATATATGTATATGTGAATGCAATAACTCCATATATGTGTATACCCGTATATGCGTGCATATAGGCATATATATACATTAATAGGTGAATGCTCACAAGGACAGCTACGGTAGATGTGATGTAGTGTTTGAACAAGCCCATTAGTTTGCATCGGAGAACAGACGCGCATTGAAGTGCATCTTTGCATGCGTCTTTCTTAAAGTTATTTTTGTTACTATCTATTTATTGCTTAAATTCTCGTTTGTCGACCGGTCCAAAGTACAACACAACAATCGCCCTCCTCCTCGTGGAGTTTGTATGCAAATGTACCCTTGCGTGCATCTGCCGAAACACCCAATAAATAGTTAAGTGGATACATAAATAAATACATATCTACAAAAATAAAGTCTTTTTCAAGTGAACGGGGGGGAAGGGCTACTGCAGTTCAACCGTGAGACGGCGCCGTTGACTGCTTTGGTTGCTTTGTCACCAAGCAGGCCAGCGCATTCGCTAGTTAACTGGGGCCTACCTAGCTAGAGGCTACTCAGCTAGACGCCAGCTACCAAGCGATTTAGCTACATAGGTAACAAAGGGAGAGGTAGACAAGCACAGAAGGAGGCAAACAAATAAAGAAGGATGCAGAGAGAAGGACATATAAGGGGTGCAAAGGAGGCTCAGATAAAGACGCACACGATTGGACAGAGACGGAAATGGGGCCAAATAGCGTAGGGGTAGAGGCATAGGCGCAGTTAGCTAGCTAGCTATCTGATTACCGAGCCCGCTAGCTGATTAATCCGATCGCAGCTAGGGACTAGGCTTCCTTGTATGAACCCGGACAAGGTAAATGCATTATACTAGTGCCGAGCTAGAAGCTGCACGTGATAACTCAAGGAACCAACAAGGAGAGGAGAAGGAGCAGAAGCATCAATTAGTAGACGTATGCAGCAGCTGTTTTTCTCTGCGGATGTGCAGGTACTTGGCCGGTCACCCCGAACTGAGCGAGCTGCTGCTGGCATTCCTAGGCGCAGTGCTGGAGCACCATCAGCGACTGCAGCCACAGCAGAGGCTTCATGAGCAGCAGCTGCTGCAGTTTGCCGGCCGCTACTTCACTCAGCCTAACCTCATAGAGGTCGTAGCGAGAGCAGTGCACAGACATCCCGCAGATGCAGCCCTTTCGCATGTTCCAGGCCGATAGAGCAGGCCATTACCTACCTGAGAGTGCAGCCAGCTAGCCACGTCACTAGCTAACCTGCTGGCCCGCCAGCTGAATAGAGCGTGCTACCCACCAATCTATCTGCACCGCCTAGCTAGATAGGCGGTTAGGTACCGAGGTAAACAGCTTGCTACCTCCCTGGCCAGCCAGCTAACTAGCTAGCAGCTAGCTAGCTAGCTACTTATCTATGGGGCTGCCATGCTAAGTAGCTAGCTGGGCCGCTTTCAAGCTGCGGGGACACCCCGCACAGGACACGACTTGCGCTAATAACCTGTCGTTGTTAAAAAGCACACAAGGGGAAAATTCAGTTCGTTTTAAAGTCGATTCCCTCGTCATTCAACAGGCCTTTCGAGTCCGAGCCAGGCGTGCTGCCAGCAGCATGATGAGCAGCAGCAGCAGTGGCAGCGGAGGCCACAGAGGCAGGAGGGGCATCCAGAGAGACGAGACTAGTGCTGCACAGTCTGCCAAAGGCACCGCTCTTCCCGAAAAGGCGAAAGGGGCTGAGCCCCAATGAACGCCCTCCACCTGCACCAGCTGATGGAGCAAAAGCACCACCAGAATCGGGATCGGCTGCTGGTGCTGGTCCAGCTGCGGCTGGGGCTGGCCCTGTGGCCGGACTTCCGTCTGCTGCACTGCCGCTCTGGGGTGAAAAGTATTCGTCAAATTGCAGCGTGTCTTTGGTGCGGATAAGGCCTTGGGGCTGCAGTGCAAGTGGCTGTTCAGGTTGCTGCTGATGCTGCAGTTGCTGTTGGTCGCCGTTGCACTCGATACGCTGCAGTTCGTGCTCTTCAGTGGGCACGTCGAAGTCCTCTTCATGCTGCCGCTGGTGCAGCACCTGCTGCTGAGACTGCACGGGCCGCATGCGGAGCAGCACCTGCAATTCTTCGTCGGCTGCTGCTGCCCGGCTGCTGCTGCTTTCACTCGGATGAATAGTTGAGGAGGAGCCTTCCCAGCCGCATTTGCCAGTTCGTGCTGCTGCTGTTGCATCACTTCCGTTTTTTGCTGCTTCATGCGCTGCTGCAGGCACTTCTGTTGAGTTCAGAAACTCGGCTTCAAAGTGCTGCTGCTGCAGCAGCATCTGCTGCTGCTGCTGCTGCTGCTGCGCTAAAGACTGCAGAAAGGCAAACCTGTCTCCGCTCTCCCTAAGGCTTGCCTGAAGCGCTGCCACCTGTTCCTGCAAAGGAAAGGGAATCTAGATGTTTGTCTCGCTGTACAAGAGCTGGATGCACCGCTCTCTGTGTTTGCTTAGTTGTTTTTGCTGTTTCTTTCTTTGGGCTATTGTTCGTGGTGAACTCCGTCTCGTTGTTTCTGCCGATTGTCACCTAAGCACGCCTCCATTTCTGCATGCAAAACTTTCAACTTCTGGTGCTGCTTTTTACAATTAGTAGATGGAAAAGCATCAAAGTACTGCAACTGCAGTAGGAAGAATGCTAGCAGCAGCAACAACAGGAACTGCGGTGCTAGCAATAGCAGTAGAAACAACATCGGCGCATTCGCAGGCAATACTACGCTGCGAATGGCTGCCATAATAAGAATAAACATAATGGCAAGCCTAACAAGAACTACAATAACAACGTTGGCAACAATAATGGCAGTGGTAACAATACCGACAGCAATAGCAATGCTAATAGAAGCATCGACAATGATAACGGCAACGCCAATAGTTATACGAGAACTGATACCATTACTAATACTAACAATGACTTAGATGGTGAAATAAGGGTTAGGGGATTAGCGCCGACGCGGTTGGCTTTGACAAAGGCAATGAAAGCACAAATGGCAAAAGTACTACCTGTTGCGTATGTTGCTGTATGTCTCTCCGCAGGGTGGCAATGCACATTTTTATTTTAGAGTTTAAGGCTTAGTCCTTGGGTTTTAGGGATTGTTGACTAGGTTTGTTTTCTTCCCTCCGCAGGTGAAGGTTGAAATGAAGATAAGGAACCAGCAGCACTAGTATTTGTGTTCGTATGTCCCCTGTTTATCGTTTATTTTATATTTGTTTGGTGTGTTCCTTTTTTCCCTTTGTTTATGATGCCTACTTTCTCATGCTTGTTTTGCAGTTTCCACGCATCTAGTCTGACCCACTTCCTACTGGCCATTTGTCGGTTCGCTTTTCCGCTGTGCTCAGTCTTTATTTGATCTCCTTTTTCATTTAACCAAACCGACTGTTTCCATTTTGCCGTCAAGGGTGTCGGTTTATTTCAGGTGTTTTTCTCAGGTGGGTGGTTGGCCGGTTTCTCTTAAGTTTCGTCTTGTGCGTTCTGTATTTACTCTTTTTTTGTTTGTTAGCGACAGGAATTTTTAAGTACATCTTCTCATTACATCTCTGCCTTTCGTATTTCGCTGGTCACACTTTTCTCGAAGACTTTTGCCCCGTGCACTGGTTACTGATTTTCGGTTTCCTTTTCCCTTTTAGTTCCGTTTGTTGCTATCTATGCTGTTTCGTCTCAAGTTGAAGTGCGCTTGCCTTCTTTTCTATTACATGTTCTATAGTATTTAGTTTTTGTCAAGTGTTTGCTTTGCTGGACGTTTCTTCCTAGTAGCTGTTGTTTATAGCTGTTGTTTATTCTTTAGTGTAGTTTTGCTGCTGTTTCCGCGTCGCATGCAGCTTTCCCGTTCTTGCGTCTTTCTGGTTGTTAAGCCTGGCCTTTTGTCGTCTCTAATTAAATTTGAATGTGTTACGAAGTACCGTAAGAAGAGCGTTTTCAGTGGCCAAGGCATCGATGTCTTCCAGAAGAAGATTTACAGCCTCTGCAGTGGCGTGGCGCACTGTGGGGAGAGGTGCTTCTCCTCCTGCTGCTCTTCCTCCTCTCCGGTCCTTCTCTGCCGTGTGCAGCTCCGGCAGTTCCTATATCCCGTAAACCGTAAACGCAAAAGCCGTACACTCAAAGGGGCACACGAGCAGGACGCAGGTATCACGAGGGCATAATACTTGCACTTTGCATATTTTTTGTATGGAATCCAAGGTTCAGGAGCTAGGGTTCAGGGGTTGACTTGCCTCTGGCTCCTCTGCGGCGTCAAGGAAGGTGGTGATTGGACTGGCGTGCAATCGCCTCCTCATGTTAAGTCTCTCGTGCAGATCCTGATCATAAGCGCCGGCATAATAAACGCATGTGCTAGCATGCATGCAAACGCATGCAACAAAATGCTTGCAGTCGCGCAAGCACTTGGCTTAAGGCTTCTATGATAGGTTTTGTTCGCCGCATGGCTTCCTACTGCAGCTCCTGCTGGGTTTTCAAGGCAGACACGCTAGACTCCTTCGTTTCTACGCAGTTGTTTCTCCGATTTTTGCGTTAAAAGTGAGACCCAACTAAACCCTTGAGATATAGGCTTGCCTGCACGAGACGGAGGAAGCGGCTTTCTGCTGAAGGATAGTTCATCTTCAGAGCAGAGAGCAGAGAACAACCCCAAACGCGCGCGCAAGAAGCAGTATATCCCTTGAATATATTTGCAACGGCCAAGGCACGTTCATACATTTGTTGTGTCAAATACAGAAACATAAGGGGGAAAACCCTGAGCATGAACTATCCACCGCGTGTGATGGTGAAGAGCTAAACCCTAAACCCTAAACCTGTAGCTGCAATACTCGAAATCCTGCATAGGGTTTCTGCTTATTCATTGGTTGGATTGACAATGTTGGTTTTTTGTAGTGTAGATGCTTGCGCTCCTCTTTCGTTTGTGCTTGCTGTTTGTCCCTTTTATGGCTTTGCCGTTTTGTCCTTTTTCTCACTTGGCGGTGCAGCTGACACTGGAGCTGGTGGAGTTTTGCCTTGAGGCCAGCCACAGCAGCAGGTCCATTGTGAGCGTCTGTGTCGCTGATGCATTTTTTCATTTTGTGCAGTTGGTCGCTGCTGTTGCGAATGGCCTTTGCTCTCTTCGCATACTTCAAAGTGTTCAGCGTCTCCTCTTGGTGGCTGCTGGCGGGGGAGACAGTTGCAATCATTGCCGTGCGGCAGCAGCCCCCCAGGCTATCCTTCAGTAGTCGCGTGAGCTTACTGTCTCGGTAAGGAACGAAGCGCAGCGGTGGGCCTCCGCAGGAGCCCCCACAAGCTCCCCCAGAGGGCCCCCCACCCCGTGCTGTCAACGCGTTTATTACATTGCCCAGCGCCAACAACGACCTGTTGATGCTGGCGCCTGAGAGATTGAGGGCATTCAAAACACAAAACCTTGTCAGTAAGGGAGAGTGCAAATTCAACCGCGAATCGAATCCCCAAACCCTTAACCCTAAATCGTAAACGCTGAAGCGATGGGTGAGACTGTGGGCCTCCGTTATTGCGATAAAAACGCATGAAAGGAGACAAAGCTCTAGCAGCAGGACTTTTAGAGTATACGATTTAGGGTTTAGGGTTTAAAAGGAGATTCTGTCGAAGCATGTGGCTGTTTTAAACGAACCAGATAAAAAATGGCTAACGTACGCAGAGTGGGAGACAAGGACGCAAACAGGTGCACTTTCATTTCCCCAGGCACTCATACAGTTAAACCCCTAAAGGTCTAGATCACAGGACCTCTACATAGCTGCATTGCTGCGTACTTGAACAGCAAAGCCCCTGGAACCTAACTCCCCAGACCTCAGGATTAAACTGCTAAAGCAGGAAACTACGGCAGCATATTGCAGGTAGGAAATCCTATAGGTTTGGGCGTAGTATAGTGGCACCTTCTGTCATTCTTTGTCCGTGATTGCTGGTTTGAGAGGCCCGCTCACTGCCCGCCAGGTCAACGAGAGACAATTTCGAGAGTTGCTTTTCATCTCCATTTTGACCGCGCAACATCACATTCACCTGCGTCGATCCATTAAGGATAGCAAAAAGTACGCGTCACTGCGTATGTACAGCTATGCCAGTAGCAGTGTGTTTGCTGAAAGCAGAGGAAACGCAACCCATCCAGTATACACAGATGCAATATGCAGATGCACGCACTGTAAACGGCAACCTAAACTATAAGCTTGCAAGCATGCATATACACAAGGCACGCAGAAGCAGAAAGGGCGCAAGGCCGTTTCAGCCAAAACCGCCAAGCCGCTCGCTTCAAAGAAGCGAGCGGCTTGGCGGTTTTGGAAGGAGCTGCAAGGTGTATGCTGGTACTCCAGTTGCTGCTGCTGCAGTAGCTTGCGTTGGATTGCCCCACTGCCTAAACTTCCGCAACCCCATGAATTGGTAAGTTGGCGAACGCATGCGGTGCTTGGAGGCCTTCGCCCACAAAGCCCAAGAAGAAGCGGTAGAGGCTGTGGTGCTGCTAAATCGCTAGCCAGCGTGTCGTGCGGAGTTAGCTAGGTAAAACAGCCAGCTAGCTATCCGGCGGCCTCTGTATCTAGTCTGCAGCCTGGAAATCCAGCTAGCTAGGTGTCCACCTAATTCGTTGTTGAGCCTTCCAGCTCTCTAGCTAGCTACGTCGGTCGACTGCTGTATAGCTGGTTTCTTTGGGCTTCCTGGTCGCCGGAGCTGGAGAAACGAGGCGTACAGCACGCTGCATGCACCTGGCGAGCAGGGACTGATGGCTGTTCGTCTGACTTGTAGGACTGCATGAGACCTTGAAGAAGTTTGATTTGCATTCGTCGCCTCTTGTGTTCTGCGCGCGTTGCCCTCGAGGAGCAGCAGCAGCGCCTGCTGCGGGGAGCACAGCCTCAGGGAAGTGGCGTGCTGCAGCAGCACACCACGCTCGGGGTCTTCTCGCAGTTCGCAGACTTCGCCGCGATGCCCCAACAAATCTCTAATCGTCTCGTTGTAAATCTCAACGAAGCGACAGATAAAAACATACTCCTTCTCCTGCTCACTGCTGACCTGCGCGCCCCCAACAGCCGCTTCCGGCAACCCCAGCTGGTTTCGTAAGTGTTGTTTGCATGCATTGTGGGAGTGAAAAACAAGGCATTCAGGCTGTTTGTGAGGTTAATGCGAATGCCAGGACACTCGGTATGGCGTCTTTCATTCGAAAGTGCTGCTGACGAGCCACAATGATAAAAGTTCTGCTCCTGCTGTTACCGTACAGGAACATGCAGCACGCAGAAGCCAGATCAGCTGCGACGTGAAGGAAGGAGGGGCCAATGCCTCACGGCTGCCTGCCGCCTCCGCGAGAATGTGCATTTCTATCTTGGCTGATGGCGCTTTTTGTGTTCTCCATCAGCAGCACTTCTTGCAGCGACACTACTGTTGCGAATGCAGTATAATTGGGGCAATACTAGCAAAAGCAACTGAGTTCTTATTTGCACGCCTTTGCAGCTCAGAGCTGTTCGACTGATTATTTCTGGCCGCTTCTTCCTTCCTAAACTCAAGACACGATGATTCATGATTCGTGCTGTCCAGAAAACGTTAGACGAGCGAAGCAGTCGATATTTGCTGACCTGCTGGAACAGGAGCTGCAGGGCTCGAGGCATCACCCCCGGTCTCGTTTCTGTACCAAGCATCGTGTAGGTTTTTCCCGCTGCTGTGGCGCCATAGGCAAAGATAGAGACATTAGTTCCTTTGAACAGTTCTTGCAGTAGAGGAGATGTGCTCAGCTGAAACACCTCCTCCTGCCCTGCACTCTCTCCAAAGACACTATCAAACAGAAAACACCGGCGGCGAACGCGACGCCCTCGGGGACCTCCACCTGCGCCCCTCTCCGTCACCAGCAGAGACTGAGGCGCCACCACGGAGACGCTTTTGCTGTCTCCTTGTCTACGTTCAGACTCACTCAGCGGACGCACCCGCACAGCCACAAATACGTTGCTTCCGCTGGTGCTGCTACTGTTGTCGTTGTTACTGTTGCCGTTTTCTGCTGAAATCACGCCCCAATCGGTGCACGACTCACCGCCTACTGAGAGACCGCTAGAAGGAGCAGCACCACAGACAGGAGATACAGAAGCAGGGACTGGCGGGACCCCCGTTGCCTCTGCAGGCTCATCAGTAACAGCAGCAGCGTCAGATGCAACGGCTGCTGATACGTTGTGCTCTGAGTCTGTGCTCACGTATCGTAGGCTGCTAAACTGTTGGCCGGAGCCCAGGCTGCTGCGAGTGCTGCCGAAGCTCAGTCTGTTGTTGAAGGCACAGCTGTTGAACGGGACTGCACGAGTCTCGCCAGAGTAGCCACACCGCATGCTGCCTCCTGCCTTGGTAGAGGAATGCAGCAGTCCCTCGCAGCTGCTACTTAGCTGGGAAGGGCTTCGTTTCTCTTGACTCGCTAAAGAAGAATTCGATCGACTGCGGTGCCCAGCACAAGATACGAACTGCGTAGCAAGAGCAGCGTGCTGCTGCTCCTGGTGCTTCTGTGACATCAGAGTTGAAGGCTTCATAAGCTGGTAGTGACGCTGCTGCTGCTGCTGCTGCTGCAGGTGTAGCTGCTGCATTTGCTGCAGTTGCTGCTGCTGCTGCTGCTGACGTGGCAGCACCTGACTGACGAGCGCGCTCTGCGCAGGAAGTTTATGATGCTGCGTTAGCTGCGTGTTCTGTGTCACTTGGTAAGCAGGCGATCCTTGTGCGTATCTACACTTCACAAAGGTGTTCGCTGTCACGGGGGCTCCAATGGGTTCCCCCAGAAGAGGCCGCGGGGGCACCGCCTCCTGAGCACGCATGAAGCTTGTCAGCTTGTTTGGGTTGAAGTGCATTTGCAGGAGGTCTCCGAACTGGCGTTTTTTTTAGTGTGTCATGCGGCGTCTAGACAGGGTGAAGTGATTGAGTATTTTGCGCCCTCATTCGTCTGCAGAATCTAGCAATTATGCACATGGGAACTTAGCAGGTAGTATATAGAGTTGTTTTATAGAGGTTTTATGTTATCTTACAGGGGAGCCGACAACCTGAGACAGCGGCTGTTTGGACCGATGCTCCCCCCCGCATCTCGTGGAGACGGAGCCTCATAATATTGGCATAATTCAACTTGTGGAAAAAATGAAACTCCCACAAGATTTATTTCCCTTCTTACTTTCAAACACGAAGTTCATCGTTGCTGATACTGAGAGGATCTAAGAAGCATTGCCGCGGAGGCATCTTGGCCCAGCCCCAAAGCGTGCTGGTTCGCTGCTTCAACAGAAGCAGCCGACTCAACAGCAGCAGAGAGACCGCCAGCAAGATCACCAAACTATGGACCTATGTAGGTTAATGCCTTTACTGGTGCAGCAAGTGGAGCAGCAGCAGCAGCAGCAGCAACACCAGCACGCAACCAGCCGATGCACAAGGGCCATCTGCCCCACACAAGCAGCAGCACGACGGATCTGTAGCTGCTGCATGCTCTAGTCCTGTTTTCTCAGCAGCCTTCCAGTTTTCTTTGTCGTCTTTAAGGTAATACTTTCTCCTGTTCGATTCAGACCCTCACTGCAGCAACAGCAGCAGGAAGGCAGCCGGCCCGTTGAGCTCCTCCAGGTCAACAGGGCTCGTAGCTTCGGCGGAGTATTGGCCAAGGACTTGTATTTTCCTTCTTTTCTTTTATTTGGTTGTCTCTCAAGTTCGTGCCTTTCTCCCTGTCTGTTTGGCTGGCTCTAGACTTCCGTGGAGGCGCGTTCCACGCATCCCATGCATGCACCGCATGCAATCTCCAGTTGTCCTCGGCACAAATACACCTAACCAGTTGTTCTTTAGCTCAGCATCATGGGGGAGAAGGAGAAAAAGAAGACAAATTCAAATGACGGATTCGTCATTCAACCAACTAGCACCCCACCACCGATCGACACCAGCAAGTGGCCCCTACTCCTCAAGGTATGGCGTGGTGTGGATTTATTTTTGTTTTGCATTTTCCCACGTCTTTTGTGCGTTTTCTGCAATTGTAGGATCCAAACACGCTGCGGCGTCGCTGCTGCAATGACAGGCGGATGCTCTTAGTGTATTTTAAGCATTTGCTTCGCTCGTACTTGGCGTCTATGATTGTAGTTTTTTTCCTTCGTTGCATGAATGCTCATCTTGCGTCGTGCTTCTCGTATGTCTACTGTTACTGCTGATGTAGAATTACGATAGGCTTAACGTCAGAACGGGGCACTACACGCCGCTGCCCTTCGGAAGCAGCCCACTGGCGCGGCCACTGCAGCAACATCTGAACTACGGGTCTTTGCTGCTAGACAAGCCCGCAAATCCTTCATCACACGAGGTGTGCATGCAAACCATGCTGCTGCTGTTGTTTCTCGTGTGTTGTTGCTGCTTCTTGTGGAGATCCTACTGTTGCGGTTGTTGCTGGGGTCGCTGCTGCTGTGGCGCCACTTCTCTTTGCTTGATTATTGCAAAGTAAAGCTACTTGAGTTGCTGTTTTCTGCGCAGGTTGTCGCGTGGCTGAAGAAAATCCTGCGGGTTGAAAAGACAGGCCACAGCGGCACCCTGGACCCGAAGGTGACAGGCTGCCTGCTCGTGTGTATTAACAGGCAAGCATATTACGCTGTTTAAGTTGCATTCAAGGAGTACGTGAAACTTAATTATGTAGTCTGGACAGATGTGCAGGCTACATGCTGCAAGGAGAACGCGTGTGGACAGGGGGGATACTGAAGGCGGTTTGACGCGGCTTGGTCTGGCTTATTGTGTACATGGAAAGAGGACGCGGATCATTTGCTCCTTGCTGAGTTAATTTGTTTCGTGCCATTTCGTCAGGAAATTAACGATCTGTTTCCTTCGTGTAATGCATGCTGTTAAGGTAGTCTGTTTCGTATTCTTTGCAGGGCAACACGACTCGTGAAGAGTCAACAAAGCGCGGGGAAGGAATACGTTGCCGTCGCTCGTTTTCACTCCAAACCAGAAAGCAAAGCCAAGGTGGCGCGGGTACGTTCAAGGTTTCTGAGAATACTTCGTTGCATTTATGAGTTTCGTCAACCCGTACAATGTATTGAAACTTGTTTAATATACCTCGCTCTGTAGGGTGTTTTTTTACTGGACTTAGATCCATGCAAGCGCGGATGTAGCTTGTATATATTATATGTATGAGCAGTAGGAGAAACGAGGACGGAGCATCTGGGCCAAAGTTCTCGGTTGTACACTGCAGGCACTGGAGACCCTTACTGGCGCTCTCTTCCAAAGGCCACCTGTTATTTCTGCTGTCAAGCGGCAGCTTCGTATCAGGTGAGGGTTGTGCTTTCCGGCAAACGGGTCAAATCATTTGCTGATTGAAACGTTGATATGTAATGAAGCTCCCAGCTGGCATGTGTTGCTGTTGTGTTGTACTGGGCAGAAGAGCGCTGCCTGTGCACTGCTCTACAGTATATTCAGCTTTTCTGCTTACGTTTGTGGGTGTTCTTTGCAGGACGATATACGAGTCTGAGATACTGTCTTACGACGAGGAAAAGCACTTGTGCGTATTTAGGGTGTCCTGCGAGGCGGGAACATACATTCGTACTTTGTGCGTTCACTTGGGGCTTTTATTGGGCACGGGTGCGCACATGCAAGAATTGCGCCGTGTAAGGAGTGGAAATTTGCAAGAAGACGGGAACCTCGTCACGCTGCACGATGTCCTCGATGCGATGTATGTCTACGACGCATTCCGAGACGAAACTTACTTGAGAAGGTGAGACGCTCTGAGGGCTTTTGAAGGCTTGTTGTAAGGCTAAGAGGGTTTAAGGTTCAAGATTCGTAATTGTTAATTATGGTGGATTTGTTTATTTATTAAAGCAAGTTTATGCATTTGTGTTGCGTGGCCTGCTGTTCCAAAGAACCACCTCCCGCTTGAAGATGCGCCTCGCTGCTCCGTCGTCGCACGGGGGTAACTTGCAAACGGGAATAATGCATCATCCATGTGATCCGTCGATGTAGTTCTCTTGTTTATCTTGTTTGAATTAGGTACTTCTAAACGCAGATGTGCAGATGTAGATATTTATCTTGCGTTGTGTTTTTTCTGAAGAATTATCTTCCCATTGGAGATGCTCCTAGTGGGCCTTCCCCGTATCGTGGTGAAGGACTCATGTGTCAACGCCATTTGTTACGGCGCAAAACTCATGATTCCTGGTGTGCTAAGGTTTGAAAATAACATTGAAGTCAACGCAGAAGTTGTCCTCATGACGACAAAGGGAGAAGCCATTGCGCTAGGTAAATACACACGTGGCACTCTCGCTCTCCCTGCGTTTCCACATCCTGCATATATATATATATATATATATACACTATACAATGTAGACTAAACCCATGTACGTCTATGTGCGGGGATGCAGTCACGGCCCGTCGAAAGCTCGTATATATATATATATATATATATATGTATATATATATATATTATATATATGGCTTCACGCAACTGCTTGAGTGAATATATACTTGAAGATATGTTTGGCTTTCACTTTGAACGTGCAGGTGTAGCGCAGATGTCAACGCCAGTTATAGCTAGCGTTGACCATGGGGTTGTGGCTGCGGTGAAGCGGGTGTTGATGGATCGGGACACTTATGCGATGCGGTGGGGCTACGGGCCGCGTGCGTCTGAGAAGAAGAAGATGATTTTGGGGGGACTGTTGGACAAGAAAGGAAGACCTAACGAGAACACGCCCAAAGAATGGCTCAAGACAGAAGGGTTCCTCCCCAAATTAACGGGAGAACCGCAAACACCGCAAGCACCAACTCCTCCCGCCGTGAAAGCAGAACGGGAAGAGCAGCCAGCAGCAACGGAAACAGATGAAGCGACACAGAACGGAGTCACTCAAAAGGTACTTTGAAGTCATCGGGTATCTTCTGCCTCGTGAAATGGTGATGGTGAAGGCACTGGGCGTGTTGCAACGCGATGCACATTCACGCGGTACATCTGGATGCGTGACGCCATTTTTCGTTTGTGTTGCAGCTGAAGAAGAAAAAGAGACGCGCTGAGGAAGAGGAAGCAAGTCTGGAGGAGGTCGCAGACAAACCACCGAAAAAACATAAGAAGAAGAAGCATCGAGAGACGGAAGAGGACGATGAATGATGACAGTGGCAAACGCACCTCCCAAATATTCAACATGGTGTTCGCAGTTTGAGTCTGCAGCGAGTTGAAGTTGCATTTGACAGGCGGTCTAGTGAAATCGGGAGAGGAATCACAGGGATGTTCAGCCGGCACGGAGTGTATTGGATGCTGAACTGTTCGCGGTGTCGCAACCGGTGCTTGCGTACTCGTAGCCAGCTGCCTAGCTAAATTTGCTGTTGCACTGTGCAGCTTGGTAGCTAACAAGATGCACACCGGCGCGTGCGCTGGGGACTTTGGATTTGCGCGATTGCACGCACGCAACGATCGCGTCATCGGCCAAACGGGTTGCACGTTCAAAATAAGAAGCCTCGGGCTAAGTAATTTTTAAACAAAAAACGTGGACAGAGTTGACACACCGCCAGCTGGGTGACCAAGCGGCTGTTTATTGGCGTCTGAAGAACCAACGCAAACCGTCACTGGGCTTCTGCTTCTTTCTCGGCGCTGATGTAGAGCACTGAGCGAACAGAACACGGCCCAAACTGCGACATGGACGTCAGTCCGTTGGCAGCACCACCCAGACTGAGCCAGCTGCTCCGGTTTCTTCTGGTTCAGGGTTCTCACCGTTGTTCCCACGAATCAGGGCCATTGGATATGAAGACACAAGTGTTTGCTCCTCCGAGAATTCCTGCGCCCTTTCCAAAGCGATATTCATTCGGTCGTCCAGACACTGCATAACACCTGAGGTCACGGCACATTCGTTTCCCATGATCATTCGCCCTTTTGTACGCGCTTCTGCGTACAAGGTACAGACATAGTGCCTAAACTCTACGTGCATGCATTCATATACATTTAAGCAAGTCGAAAAGGTTAAAAAGTCAACGCGTATAGCCGTACAAGGTATCAGCGAATCGGAGACCATGCTATTGTAGAAGGGAGGAGCATACGGCTAGAGTCTGTGCACAGGCCTCTACAGATAACACATGCAGTACGGGCACTAGAAATGTAGGCAGAAGCTACGAAAAGTTATCCCGCTCTTTGGCGTGGGTTGCAGCCACACGATACAGGAACCGTCTGCTTGGGAACAACGTGACTTCCCCTGCACAACTTGCACCGTATGATTCACTACTACAGAAACGGCCGCTTTTGAGATTATCCAAAGTAGTCCACGGAGCTGCAAGGGCATCAGATAGTTCGCAGTTCGTGATGCAGTCGTCCTGTGTTCGGACTGTATGAAGGTGTTTATTACCTTTGTAGGTAACTCCGCTATTAAGCTTGACGAGCACGTTCCCTCCTAACACGCTCTGCAAGAATTCGCTGGGGGTTTTTCTCCCAGTTGAGGCTGGGGCTGGTGGCTTGGCTGTCATTTCGTCTCAACGACTCACAAGAGGAAGCACAAAGAGGGGATATAAGTGGTACCCGACACTACTAAAGGCCCGGAACTAGAAGAAAAGTTAAGGAATAGAAGTAATACAAGTATATTGTTTTTAAGCCGAATCAGCCTCATTCGCTTGAATGTCTCCTGCTGGCCCGCTGCGCGTTGCTGCCACGTCACGATGGCAGGCTTGGGGCTGCATGACCCTGGAAGCTCGCCAGTACCTCAAGCTGTTCAACAAGCCATACATTTTATCAATTTCAAGCATATTGCAAGTTATGAGTAACGTTTTCGGTCTTTGGAAATGACCTTACCGGTATTTGGCGTATGGGGGGCTCACCATGATGCTGCAGAATACACCGTCGATATTAGTACCAAAGGTGCAGTTGTAGCCTAGTTATTGACAATGCCTCCAGTAACTGCCGGTGCATTTAGTACATCAACGCATTGGTATCCCGTTCATGGAAAGCCAGATCCACACAGTGGCCAGCGCAACAAGGCCTTAGTCTTGGCCGAGGACAGTCGTGAACTGCGGTACAGCTACGAGAGTGAAGAACACGGTTCCCAAAAAACTATAGGCTTCCTTTCCACTCTCCAGACGTCCCGAGCACTGCCGGGCAGTGGCCAGGAGCTGGTGTGCAGAGAAGGCGGCCTGCCATGAGTTGCAGCGTTCCTCGAGGCAGCTCCTGCTGCAAGGAATGCTGCAGCTCAGGGCGGGTCGCCCCCATGTTTCCCCAGGCACAACTTCGTTCCTATTTCCAATGCTGCGTACGGGTGGTTATCCTTCGGAGTCTCCGTAACTTTCAGTTGCACGGTTAGATAATGGGCAAAACAGAGCATTCTGGGTTGTTTCTCGAGAAGGCACTCAGACTGGTTGCAGCGGAGCTGAGATACCATTCGTCAGCAATGCTCTTCGATGCTTGGAATAAGAAGAAGACAAAGAAAGTGGCCAGGTAGATGCACTGGGGTAGATGAGGGGGGGACGTGTGGGTAGGAAGTTTCCCAATTGCTCGTCCCAGCTCTCTTCGTACCCGCATCGGAACTTGGTGGGAACTCTTGATCTTCATGACATCGTATAATGTTCTTCCCTTCTGTGTTCAGTTGGTTGGCTATCATCCTGCTGCCAGCAAAGGCACAAGCCTCGTCACAAGCTACGTCAAAACAGTAAAATCGACCTATAAAATGCGCTCTGATGCAACTATCCGCCTTTTATGTTTTTTCTTGATGATGCATCTTATAACGCGTAACGCGTAGACAAACCAGCATTCTTGCTATCGAACGCATGAGACACAACTGCGTGTCGGCGTTGTGTCCAGCATGTACACTGAAGGCCTGCACCGCAGTCCCTGAATGAATCATCGAGCACCTCAGATACTAAAAATAACCAACTGATAACCAGGAGACAAATTTGGCAATTGATGTTGTCATATCCTAATGAATCCCAACGACCCTGAATGGTCGTCGTAGGGCTGCAGTCGGGAAATGCAGCAAGCTCGCTCTAAAATTGAGGACATGTCCAGCCTCTTGTAAGCTGAAGCCGCTACCTTGTTCCTCGAGGCCCTTGCTCTGCGTCTCTTCCGTCGGGTTCACTTCCACAGTCAAAGATACTGATGACGCCGTTTGCATCCGCCATTTGGAGTCGATTGTGCGGATGCCCGCCTCACGTCTGCAAGCTTTAAGTTGGCAGCCCCCCAGTTCCCCTTAACATCCTGATCAGTAGAAGCGGAATCCTTTGTAAGACCGCCCCCTCCCCCAAGCCCTGTTTTATGGTGCATTCCTCACTAGCTTCTTACGAAACCCTGCATCCCCATAGAAGAGTAAATTTGCATCACGACAATGGTTAGTTCTGTGACTGGGCGGGTGGTAGGTCAAGTTTCACGCAAGAGCTCAAACAGGCAACTGCTGCCTACAGCGGCTATGCAGATAATGCGAGATCCGCATACTCAGCATCACATTAAAGTCTCCCGCGTTCCTCTTGCCGTAGTTTGCACTGTGTGCCATATCAAGCATAACTTACCAACCCCTTTTTATTCGTACAAACTCAGTGATGCCACGGCGTGGGTGCCGCCTGAACGCTAACTCAGGAATGCAATCCCCAACTATTCTTGCTAGGGAAAAAGAGACAGTTCGGGCTCGTTGTGGATCATCAGGCCGAACCAGAAGCCCCTGAAACCTCCGCTTCCTTTTCCAGTTATATACGCCTAGGTACTGGCAGCCCGGGTTAAGTAGTACACTATTGAAGCTTACACTACACAAAGCTGGCCTGAAAGAGGGAGTCTTTCAATGCACTAAGATCGTTGAGCGCTTCAGTTTAAAGGTGCGCATGGCTTTAGCACATAAGACGAGTGTGTTGCCCCGCGCACATATAATGCCGCCAAAGAATGGTGGAACGAAGTGAGCAGAGTCTCCACACAAGGGGCGCCACCAGACGCTGTCGTCCAGCTTCATCCGGTTGTAAGAATTCCACTGTTTACGGCGCTCCTCTCTAACCTCCACGCCACACTCCAGCACACCCCAGAAGCAACTCGACCCGAGAAGCACAAAGAATGCCCAATATTTCCCAGCGCGCACATTGCCACTGGTTTAAAGAGGATCGAACTGTTTAGCCTGGTGAGCTCCAAGCTGCAGAAGGACAAATCCAAACAAATTCAGCAAGAAGTAGCCAAAAACTTGGCGCACCTGAGCTCGCCGAGCTCATCTGCACTCACCTTTGGCTATGCAACCTGTTTCAACAATGAAGCGAAGGCATCCCACAAGCAGTGGCGCCCCGAAGCGAACATCCACAGGAGGGAAAGATGAAAACCAACACCGCGCTTAGTGCAGATGAATATCAAATAGCTTCAGCTGAAAGTAGAACAGCCACAGCAACAGTCACAGCAAACTCCCTTGCCTCCACTGTGAAGCGTCTCCACCCACTCGAAGCGCAAAAAGTCCTTGAAAGAGAATGAAGCAGTGACAATGGAGGTAGTTAGCTTCCACGCCCGAAACTGCCAGTTTCGAAGCATTCTCCGCATAACTAGACGGACACGACGGAGCGCAGTTTGGTGTTAGCTTGTCTAGAAGAAAAGTTGCCTGGACATTTTAGCTTGTGCTTCGAAGCTATTTGGCTCAAACAGCTTTGGTCATGCAGCTTTTCGTAACTTGCATAAGGGGGGATAACAGGGGCAATTAACAGCTGTGCCTTGAATATCGAAGCCCTCACAGCCCATACCCGAACAAATGCCGACCGCAATCTAAAGAATTTCTAACAGTGGTAATCAGGTGTACTTGCTTTTCACGCTGCACGAGAGCGCTGTTAAACAGTGCAGCGTGCTGCGCACGACCGCCCTTGGCCGCTCTTCGGAGACCTTGGAAGCGCCGCCAGTCCAAAGCACTCCTACTCTACTTCCCTGAGAAAGGATGGTGCCTTAGCAGTCTGCATACCCATTTATGCACAAAATCAACGTCCTTGAAGCCAAATACGGAGTCCTGTCCCGACAGGCTCACCAGCCTTCATGGCGAGCTACACCATTCAGCATCATCCATGCACCATTTGAGCCACTGTCCTTGGTGGAACCTAGGAACTGCTGTCGTGCAGAAGATCGTTTGCTTTAGTGGAACCAGAACATCTGCCGAGGGTCGCTTGCCCGATCTATATATGTCCAGAGCTCCGTGTAATGACTGCGCCAAACGGATGTTCTCTTTGGCCGCTCGAAATGAAGCTGCTCTTTTTGTAGGTCCTCTGTACTCCGGAATTGCACTAACAACACCCCCCCACCATTCGTCGCGATTCGCCCTGGGTCCCCAGACCTCACTGGCAGCGTACAACGAATCTATGACTATCAGACAAAATGCAAGTCTTTCGACGGCCACCTTCGGCTTCGCACGTTCAACATCCGCATCCATCTGGAGTGTTGCATACCCAACTAGAAGCTCAACATGAGTCGTGAGCGTGTCTAGATGATACCAGTCAAGCTGTGGCAACTTCAGGCAGTCCTTCACAATAAGCAATGACTGGAGGTAATTGAAACGCCTGCTGCCTACTAGTTCTATATTTTCCTTCCTAAACTCCCTTACGAATGCCCCGGGTACGACGCTTGGTAACCTAAAGAAGGGATGCGTGTTGATGGCCTTCACGACAGATGTCTGCAGTGACATCATCAAAGGGGCAAGAGTAGGGGCATGCGTCTTCCTTATCCCTGGCAGTGCCCATTAAACAAATAGGTCATATGATATCAACCCTGTCAGCCTAGAGGATTACACGGAGAAAAGCACAGCTATTTAAAAATCAGCAAGAGGAAGGAAAAAGCTAGGCGCACTGTCCAAAGAACCAATAATCGCAAAACCTCCGGAGTATCAACTTCACAACCACAGTGCATGTACTTTTTCAAAGGAAGCCAAGAACTTACTTCAACTCTAGAACTCTGGTGACGCAAGCCATCATCCCCTCTCTGTCCCTTCATCTCTATAGACTGTTGTTTTCCCTCCACACGCTGACGGCGTTGATGATTGGTTAAGATTTGCGAAGCATGCGACTGTGTGCTGGCCTGCAAGACGCGCGACCCCTCACGAGACTTAGTTGCTTCTGAAGATGGGACCGATGAACCTGAGGGCCCCAGGAGGCCCTCCAAAAAATGTTGCTCTACTACTCCGCTCAGAGAAGTGCCCCCTTCGAACGTTGCAGGTGCGGCAGCGCTTGAGCGCACCGCTTCGTCGTCTTCGTCGTTGGATGACTCCTCGCTTGTACGTTGCAATTCACTAGAAGACGGGCGTGAAGGCATTTCCTTCGTGGGGTCAAGTAGCCACGCATCCAGAGAGAGGCCTGCTTCGTCTGCAGCCAACACTTCCTCTATGTATTG